CACTCTGTCTTTTTCATAATCATTCCTTTCTAAACAAATTAATTGTACATTTTCTTCTACTACTGTAACATGCTTAACATTTTTTACTTTACCATTTATCAACACTCTGTAACCATTATTTGTATATCTTACTAAAACTCCTAATTGACCTTTGTCATCCCATTTATCTACTCTCCTTTCTTTAGGTACTCTAGCAAATACTCTACTCCCATAAATTTTCAAGTATTTAACACTAGATTTCTTTCCAAAAAATATTTCATATGGTGTTTTATTTTCTATTGTATTTGCTATGGTTCTATTCTTCAAGTAAGCAACTGTTTGTATTACTTCCGGCCAATACCTTTTATGAATTCTCGCTTCTCTCAATAAACATCTACCTATATCCAACGCACTTCTGTTATATCTTTCAGCTGTACCATTTAATTCATGTACATAAGGTGGACATGGTCATAATTGTATACCCTTGTATTTTATAAAGTTATATATCTCTTTGTTTAAATACTCTTTGCCATTGTCGCATTGTAATTTTTTAACTCTCTTATTAAATTGATTTTCTACTAAGTTTACATAATCAATAAAACAATTTGCTGTTTCAGCTTTACTCTTTATGCAATAAATTCTCGCACATTTACTATAGTCATCCAAAAAAGTTATAAAATACCTTTCTCCACAGTAACCTTGAATTCTATGTGGACCATTTAAATCAGTGTGAATCAACTCTAAAATTTCAGAAGCTCTAGTTCTACAATCATCAAATGAATTTTTAGTCATTTTACTTTCAATACAATTTGCACATTTCATCTCTATATTTTCCAGTTTATCTGGCAAACCATCCAATAGTTTATTTTTTACAATTTCATTCAAATATTTAAAGTTTACATGACCCTAATGCTCTGTGCCATTTTTCTTTTTCAGTTAACTTTGTTACATTTGTATAAATTTTACTTTGATTTTTATTGACATAACTTTTCATTTTGTATAAGTTTTCATCTTTGTAAGCTACAGCTAATAATTTTCTTTGTTCATCATATATTTTTGAATTATTATTTTTTGATATTATTGTATAATTGTTTTTTGTGATTCTTGAAAAACTTAACAAGTTTTTTCCTATATCTTTGACATAATATATACTTTTTATATTTATTTCATTTTCATTGTAATAAGTTTTAAAATATGTCCTTATATTGCCAATCTTTGTGGCTTTCAAAATTTTACCATTTGGTAATTCTACATTTACATGATTCTTAAGATCTATACATTTTTCAAAATATTTACAACCATTTACAATATGATCTGAACACCCACTATCAAGTAACCAATTTATTTCACTTTCACTTTCAATATTTTCTCTACACTTTTTCAATTGTGAGTTGTAGACTGATGTAGCCCACGCTTGACGGTTGTCTCTGTTGTCTTCTTGACTTCTTCCTCCGTTATTTCTTGACGGGGATGGTTGTTGCTGACCTCTTGTTTGGCCACGACCTCTATAGTTGCCTCTGGTGAATCCCCTTTGATTTTCTCTTTCTCGTTGATTTTGGATATTTCTTTGTGTGTCTTTGTTGGCGTCTGCGTGCCAACATTCTTTCTGTAAGTGGCCTGACTTGCCACACACATAGCATTCTCGTTTCATTTTCGTGTGGAAAGTACTTGCAGCCGTTCCTTTTTGTTTTTCTTCTCTGTTCATATTTTTTTCTTTTATCTTTGACTTTACATATTCAACAGTTTGCTGATCTTCTGGTACTAGGTCTATGTAGTCACCAATATAACTATAATTGGCTGGTAATGCTTTCAATAGATATCTCATTTTTTCTTTCTCTGTTATCTTGCCTCCAGCGGTTTTGAATTTATTTGTTGCTCTTTCAAAGTCAAGAAAAAATTGATCAACTAACTCGTAATTTTTCAATTTTACTTCTTCCATTTTATTTCTGCATAATATTTGCAATGCTGTTGATTGTGTCAAATGCATAGTATCAAATCTATTTATCATTTGTAACGTAGTCGTACAATCGCTTATATACTCCAGCTGTCTGTCTGATACTGCACTAATCAAAATTGTTTTTGCTTTTAAATCTTTCTTATTCCAAGCTGCTTCGTTTTCTTCTTCGATTTTGTTTGCTTCATCTTTTAATATTCTCGTTCTAATTGCTGGCTCTTTACATTCTTTGTATTCTAACAAAGTTACTAATCTCATTTTCCAGGCTTTATAATTGATGCCATCGAAAATCGGAATTGAAATGTCTTCAATCTTTGCTTGCGTAGCCATTTTATTTCTTTTGCTTTAATCTTCTCGTAAATTACGTTTTTCAATTTTAATACTTTATTTGCTTATTTCAAAAATACTTTTCTTATTTCTCAATTTTTTGTTTAATTCTTCATCGATGCTTACGTATTTCTCTTTGGATTCATGGCTTATATCATTTGCCATGTAGTCATGCGTTTAACCTATAAATTTGCCACGTGCTTCAAACGTGCATTATACCGCGTGCCTTGCTTGCTGATTTTAATCTTTTAACATCGTGCTTTTAATTTATTATTTTACTTGTGTCTTTTTACAATTCACTTGTTGTTCACTTTATCTTTAATTGTTACTCTATATTTTTCGGTTGTATAGTTTCACTTGTGTATAATTTCGCTTTTAGTCTACAACTTTCTAATCACTTTACATCTGTTTTTCTATCAATTATTTAGGCAAAATATTTACTTTAGCCTTTAGCTAATTATTTTTACTTTTCATGTATGCTTATATTTTTACTTTTCCTTAACTTTTCCATAGTCTTTTCTCTTATACATTTTTCATTTCAGACACGTGTTTCAATTAACCTTACTCTTTATAAAATATTTACTTACTCTGTCCAACTCAACCACGCTCTGCTACCATATTGAAAAATGTGGTTTGTTGGAATTTGTTTATATGAGTAGTTTATTAACTATATACATTACGTTGTATCTTACAAGCTATGCAAGCGCACGTCCATACTGTATGACTTTCTCGCTTAGACTTCTTTTCACTATATCAGCATGCCACGAATGCGCATTCTTACATTCAGTAGCTCAAAGCTCGGAACTCGGCTCGAGAGCTCGCCGTGGAAGGGGCGCGAGCTCTACACTGTCTTGAATTCTCTTTCAATAGTTCAGATTATAATATTTACATATATTCCAACAAAAGTAAATTATTATATATGACGTTTATACTGAAAAAAACACCTCCCCACCTATTAGACTCAACAACAAATACATTCTGCAAAAAAACTACGTAGAATATTTAGATCGGAAGTTTGCAAAACTTAAACAGCTAGGACTGAAATGAAAGAAAATGAACTGGCTCATCGAAAGAAAATTGGAGTTGTCAACTGAAAACAAACTCGAATATTAAAATCCTGGAAAAACAATCGAATATCCTACGCAACATCATACAGGCAACATGGTTTATCCTAAACGAAATTATTCGTAATGAACTACAGATTGCAACAATTAAGGAAAAAAGAAAAAAAATTACGCAAAATATATTCCCAAACTACAAAATCATCCAAATCAACTTATCACGATCTCCATAATACAACCATTACAAATACCAGTCTCAAGAAACATAAATTAATGAATATATAGATAAATCCTAATCTTTTTATCACATTCTAAAACAAAGACAATATTTGCTGGAGTATTTTCCCGATTCTCATGTTGATATTTATAGTAATGACATTTACTTATTGTCTTGATATGTGAGACAAATTGTAAATAAATTTGGTGCAATAAAAAAAATCATGAATTTTATCTGCCCTCTTCTTACACTTCTCCTTAGTTATCTACAATAATTTAGATTTATAAATGAAATAAATTCTCGGAAATAATTTCTCGAATTTCATATTGCTATAGCTCTCTATAATATACATACATACAATTGCGTACAAAAGTATTCGGCCAAAGATAATTTTATATTTTAATAATATATAAAGAATGCAAGGTGGAAATACAAATATACCTTCATAAAATAATTTTATTATACTATTAAATCATGCGATTCAAACATTTATTTTAACTAATAAAAAAATTTTATAACTAAAATAACATATTTTGATATTTTGCTTATTCATAGGCCAAACACTAAGTAGATAAAATTTGTTTCGAATTTTTAATGTTATTGGTTGCAAAGGTATGTAAGCACTAGGACTGTGTTTTTATTATTCTCTGTAATTAGTATCCATCAGTAAACATGCCGAAGCGCACATTTTTAGACATCTGAAAAGTGGTGATTAAATTACACACAATGAAGTAAAAGTTACATGTGAAATAGCCAAAATTTTGGCAATAGGAAAATCGACTGGGAACGATATAATAACTAAATTCAAGAGTATTCACACTCCAAAAATTGAAAAAGTTCTAAAAGACACAGAAGTTCACTAATCGTGTTGATATATTGATTAAAAGAGAGGCTGTTACAAATGCGAAAAAGAATGCTGCCAGTATTCTACGCGAATTACACTAAAAAAAATTTAGCAGACATAAGTTAAAGTAGTGTTGCACGCAGACTAAGAGAAGTGGAACTTTTCACTCTTCTTAAATTTTTCAAGAAGAGTTGGAAAAATATCTCTCATGATAGAATTATGAAATTTATTGATTCGATACGTCACCGATGTGCTGCTTTTAAGGGCACGGGTACGAAGTACTAATGATTATATTACATTAAACATCATTTTTAATTGTTTTTTTTCATGTTACTATATTTTTTATTATAAGTGCTAAATTCGTAGTTGGCCGAATAGTTATAAAAGAGGAAAAATTGTTAGTTTTAGATTAAAATTTTATTGATATTCAAAATAAATATTTAGATGACATGGTTTGATAGTATCAGAAAAGTACTTTACGAAGGTATATTTGGGTTTCCACTTTGCAACTGTAGACGCGTACGTGTGTGCACATAAATTATCGATCATTTTTATATACACTTGTACATATTTGAGTTCCATTTCATGCGAATAACTAACAAAATACCCTGTTTTTAGTAAGATGCTATGCTCGAACCGATGATCCGAGTAATGCAACCGTCATGCAGACGTCCGAGCTCTCTGCCACCTTTAAAAATCTTAAGCCTATGACAGAATATGCCGTGCAGGTACGAGCGAAGACTACACGAGGATGGGGCGAGTATACGCCTGTTCTCTACAAAAAGACATCTCATGCTATAGGACTGGGTAAATATTTTTCTATTTTTTGTAAATTTGATCAAATTAGTCAGTATATATTTAGTAATTTTTTTTTTAGATTATGTAGGTGAAGATGATAACATGCAAGTACGTATTATCGCCGGCGCTATCGTTGCAGTAGTCGTTCTTCTTGTAATAATCATCGTAATGACCGTACTATTCTTACGGAGGTAATCTTTTCGAAATTAATTTATATTAATTTGAGGTTGAAGTAAAATTATTTTACTCATTTATGCAATTTTGATACAGTAGAGCTTCTGACGAGTGCAACAAAAAACAACCAAGTGATTGTGATACTTTGGAGTATAGAAATGGAGAAGGTATGTCAGTCCTGCTTTCAAATATATTTAAAATTTATCCTGACTTTAGTTTAATGATTTTAGTTTATTAGAGATTGTAAGTAAGTTATGGTTATTCACTTTATTGATTATAATCTAGAAAAAGTAAAACGTAGTATAACAGCTGTAATGTATCGCTAGGAAACCGGAGATGTTTCTTTTAGCGGCAAGAAGTCTTTAAACTCGTGAAAAGTACTACCGAATCTTTACAATTTATCCTATTATTTTAATGCATAGACGCTTTTCTGTGTCCTTAAAATGCTAAGCGCAAATCGAATATAGACGTTACCTGACAATCCTTCTCCTGTATATTTAGTTTATTTCCTAACCAGGTAGACCTAATCATTCCTAATATTTATAATCCTATCCCAACGTGTATTTAAGTAGGAAATGTAATATATTATACAGTTTCAGCTAGGTAATATATATATTCTACTAACACATTGATAGTGATATAAAATTTATCGTAAATAATTCTAATGGATCAAATAGTTAAATAAATTAAATTTGAAGAGTCACGGAATTAATATTATTATACAAAAAAAAAAAGATCTTTGAATTATTTTCAAAACCACTATCCTCCTAAATTTGTCCTCAAATACATCAATACGACAGATCGTTTAATCATAAATCACAAAAATTATTCTGATTTACGAGCTCATTCCAATACTCAGACAACGAAATGACTCACTATTTGTCTGAATTTTAGGATGAATTCGTAATACCGAATAATTTTTGTAATTAATACATTTGACCTCGATTGCTTACGAGTATTTCGTAAGTAGTCGAGCTGAGTTATCGTGTTTTTGGATGGCTCCTAAGAAAATATGCTTATATTATTTATTATATAGTGCTTCCAAAAATATGTTTGAATATATGATTAGTTACATTATATTGGGTTAGTAAAAATGTATACTATCAATCTGATTTGAAAGATGCAAAAGGAAGTAAGTAAAACTTTAGCATTATGCCCAAGTCACAAAGATTTGAATATTTGTAAAATACAGAATACTAAAATCTTATGTGCAGAGACTTGAATAGTAATGGCATAAGTGTTATTAAAAAGATTCTTAATAACACTGCGCTAAATGCTGCCCATCAAACTGTCAAGAGATGTGATGTACGAGGGTGATCCGATAAGTACTTAGCCTACAAAAGAAAAACGAAAATTTTGGAAAAGTGACGTTTTATTTTTCAACATAGTCTCCTTTTAGTTCGATACACTTGTCCCAGCGATGCTCCAACTTCTTTAACGCGTCTGAAAAATACGTTTCCTCGAGGTCTGAAAAGTAGGTTTCCGTGGCAGCGATTACCTTCTCATTCGACTCAAATTTCTACCTGGCGAGTGACTTTTTCAAGTTTGGAAACAAAAAGAAGTCGCGCGGGGCTAAATCTGGAGAATACGGTGGATGGGGCAGCAGCTTGTAGCCTAATTCGACCAATTTGGCTATGGCGACGGCGGAGTGTGAGCCGGTGCGTTGTCATGGTGGAAGAGCACTTTTTTCTTCGCCAAATGGGGCCGTTTTTTCTGCAATTCGACGTCGAATCGGCCCAATAATTCGACATAGTACAGCCCTGTGACCGTTTTGCCCCTCTCCGGGTAGTCGATGTAGATCACACCTTGTGAAGCCCAGAAAACGATGGCCATCACCTTTCCGGCCGATGGGGCAGTCTTCACCTTCTTCGGAGCACTTTCACCGGGTAAAGTCCACTGTTTCGACTGTTCCTTGGTCTCTGGTGTATACCAGTGGATCCATGTTTCGTCGACTGTCACGAAACGACGCAGAAACTCCTTCGGATTGCGCTTAACAGCGTCAGACATTGCTCTGAACTTGTCTCACTGTTGCGCTTGTTGTCCGGAGTGAGCAAACGCGGCACCCATCGCGCCGACAGCTTTCTCATGCCCAAAATTTCATGCACGACATGACCCACGCGGTCTTTTGAGATGCCTACGATCTTAGCTATCTCGCGCATCTTCAATCGTCGATCTGCCAATACGAGATTGTGAATTTTTGTCACGTTATCCCCCGTGGTAGCCGTTTTCGTAGCACCTGGACGTGGCTCTTCAAAAATCGACGTGCGACCACGTTGAAACTCGTTAAACCAATTTTTGACGGTCGCCATCGAAAGAGAAGAGTCACCGTACACAGCATCCAAGCGCTTTTTGATTTCGCTGCGCGATTTCCCTTCCAAAAACAAGAATCGAATCACCGACCGGTACTGCTCTTTTTCCATTTTTCAAAAATCAACGAACACACTTGCTTTCACACGCTCTCAAAAATAAACTACAACTCCGATCCGACTGAAATCTTGACAGTAACCATCGAGAAGGTTGTACTACGTGATAGAATATTTCTTTTGCGAGTGTGGCGCCATTGGGCGGTGAGGCTAAGTACTTATCGGACCACCCTCGTAGTTCGAGGACAAGTCAAATCCTGCTGTTGGTTAACTTACAACACGATTGTCGATGATACCTGTTTTCTGTTTGTTGAACAAGTCTCAGCTAACATCCAATTCTCTATTGACGTCACACAATCCCCCTCTGTTGCAAGTAACTTACATTTGGAAGTGACACTTACGAGTCAATTCTGTCTCCTTCCTTTAGAACTGAAGAGATGATCAAAGAACGCTCTTATACCTCAGCTCTCTGTATAAAAATGAGTGCATCGCCGCTTCTCGTTCTAATCAATTCTAACAGTTGATCAGGTTAGCAGCTGAGCTCTCTGGATTATCCAGTCAAGTCAACCTGGTCAAGGCGACATCAGAGCTCCCTTACGTAAGGGACTACACACCAGGGCGGAGGCACCGAAAAGACAGTACAAGATAACATTCAGTATATTTTCCAGGAAGCAGCAACCAACAACCATTATGAAAAGTTTAACCTGCCTACGACTCATTTTTTTGCCTCGTCAGCTATCCAATTTTCTTTATCTTACACCGTATTTTGTTCCCTTGATTACTCAACTTAGAGAAAGACGCGATTGTGTAGAACATGCTTTTTGTAGATTTTATGAAGTATTCATTAAAAAATAAACGTATTTAACTTTTAAAGCTAGAATCTTATTAAATTTTAGAGTTTAAGATTTTCTACTCTATGATCACACAAAATCTTTTTGTACATAACCTAAAATAAGATTGTACTCTTTCAATGTTCACATTTTCGTAATCTTTTTTTATTGTTTACTTAAACTGTAAATATCAAAAAGATTAATTTCCACAAATAATACATACTTTTATAGATCATTTTTTCACGGTACTTTCTATTATCTAAAACTCGTTTTTTCATAAGTTATATTGAATCCATTGCTGCTTATTTAGTTATGGCTTATTCTGTTAAGCCATCACTCTCTAATGTAAATTTTCTTTCTTGCTATGTCTGTTCCTTTTATCGAATGTTCTTTTCTGCGCCTTTGTTTTGTGCTTGATTGAGGTATCCCTCTTAAACTTCCAGCAGTAATCCAACATCGTATTAACTTTCCAAAAACCTTGATAATGCCTTTTTATCTTTTTAATATCTTAATGAAATCTTTCACCTTGCTCTTCACTATAATCTTCAAGATTTTGTGGAAATTTGTCCAAATGAGAATCTAAAAAGTGGAACCTTTAGACTGATCAGACATTCAACAGCTTCATATTTTACAACCAAGTCGCTAACTATTTGTTTATAATTTGAATCTCAGTTGTTACCTAAAAATTTCTTACAAACATTGACAAAGCCTCTCAAGCTTTTCTTTCATCGTTTAACTTTCTATTTGGGGATTCGAGGTCTTTCATTAATTCTCTTTTTTAAGGTCCATCAAAAATTCCTTCGTTGACTTTTTTTTCTGATAACTTTGAGAATTTCACAAAGAAATATTAAAAGACGTTACTATTTCTATTTCTTAAAGCCTTCACTAACTGTTTAATCAAGACTAATTTTATATGAAGAAGAGGCAGTATTATAATATCAGGATGAACTAATTTATTGTATTTGATATTTTTTCGCCTTGCAACAAAATTATTCCATGCTGCCTACTCCATTACTTTGTAATAATCTTTACGAGCTCTGCTGTTCCATTTATATAAAAAATATGGTAATTTCGTAAAACATCTTTGTTGTCTCAAAACGATTGTGAAAACTTTTAAATTCTTACAGATTTTCCATTTATACGTTCCGTAATTAATTTCATTATATAAATATTCCATATTCACCGAATATACATCCATTGTCATAAAGTGAGCCAATGAAACAGAAGCTAGTTTATTTCCATGTTCAGTAATACAGCTTTAAGGCTTCTTTTAGAGAAATCAATACATAACCGCCATTCTTTAGGATCATGCTCAACTCAGAATTCGCTAATCAACCTATCTATAATTGCAATATAATAATTCGGCTGAAAATTTCGTATTGTTTAAAAGAAAAACACATTTTTTTGGTAAAATTCGTTTTTATTATTCAACATAATTGTCATCAAAGGTGGTACAGCGATTATAGCGATCTTACAACTTTTCGATACTATTTTTGAAATACGATTTGTCTTTAGCCTCAATATAGGTCTCGGTTTCAGTGATTACGTCTTCATCGGTCTTAAATTTCTTTCCAGTAAGCATTTTTTTCAGATCTGCAAACAAGAAAAACTCGCTAGGGCCATATCTGGAGAATGCGGTGATTTCGGAAGCAATTCGAAGCCCAATTCATTCAATTTTGCCATAGATTTCATCGATTTGTGACACGGTATATTGTCTTGATGAAACAGCACTTTTTTCTTCCTCAAATAGGGCCGGCTTTTTTCGATTTTGACCTTCAATTTCTCCAATAACACTATATAATTGTCGCTGTTGATGGTTTCTCCCTTTTCAAGGTAGTCGATGAAAATTATTCCATGCGCATCCAAATATATGAAGGCCAAAACCTTTTCAAACGATTGTTGAGTCTTTTCACGTTTTAGATTAGGTTAATCGCGTGCAGTCCACTCAGCTAACTGTCAATTGGACTCCGGATT